ACGCGTGCGGGGGTAAAACCGGTCCCAGCAGGGAAAGGGATGTCATGTGCCGAATAAATAAAAACACATTCAGTTTTTTTAATGAAACATTAAGTTTATGAAACAGCACGGTCAGTAACCCCCTGAGTAAGCCCTTCCCCCGCTTATGCGTGTGCTTTCAACAGCACCAGAAACAACAGGACGTAGACGCGAGGCCGCCCCCGCTGCGCTGCAGCTGTGTTTCGGCCCCCCGTCAGGGCCAACGACGGTGCTCGTCGCCCTTTCTCAGGGCGAGCTTTGCCCACACAGTGTAACATCCCCTCACCATCAGCACCAACATGAACAGTTGCAGCAACAGCTGCAACAACATCAACACGCTCCAAAACGTCTTGTAAGCGAGCAGCGCTTCCCCCCACTCCAATCAAAGAATGCACATACGTTGCGTGGTTAAGGAACGAAATGCTACAAGAGGTACAGAATTTAGTAAAGTGCCAAAATCCTAAGATTACTGTAGAAGAGCCAACTACCAACCACCAACCAGCATTCTAACCGCTAACCGCTACCCACCCACCTGTTTTTCCTTCATCATGGCGCTGCTCAAGCCCGAGGCCAGCACCAGCACCACCCCCTGGACCAGCGGCTTGTTCTGCGATGTGGGTTGCCGTACAGGTGCCGTACAGGTGAGCCCCGATAAGGCGGGGGTTACGCCCAAAGGAGGGACGGGCAGCACGTGTCTGTTTACACATGACCAGAAAACACACACGCGACACGCCGTGTAACCCAGATGCGCTCCACCTTTCGACCCACGCACCGCCTCCACCGTTTTCCTCCCCCTCTTCCTCCCCCCCCGTCCTCCCCCCTCACCTTCACAAAGGCCCACCTGGGCGACTCCACCAGGTTGCCCGCGGGGGAGAGCACCCACATCACGAGGGCTTGGACATCGCGTAACGCGATAGGGTGGGGGGAGGGACCGCCGCCGGGGGCGCCCTTGATCTCCACGCTGGGTGTAGCCTGAGGGCGGCAAGAGGGAGGGGTTGGGAAGACGAGCCACGTGAACGAGTGAAGCTGATGCCACGAAGGACAGACTGATACGAAAAGGGGGGCGCGGGGAAGGGGTGTTCAGAGGAACCACTGACGATTTAAGCAGAGACCAGGACAAGGGAAAAGCGGGAGGGAGAGAGGGGAAGGGTGGTATGAGCAATCCATATGCTGTGCGGTGCGGATGGAGCAACGTTGCAGACAAACAAACAAACGGACAGAAAAATAGACAGACAAACAGACAGACAGACAAACTAACAGGCAGACAGACACGCAGACAGACCAGATCGACGCACGCAAATATATATATATATATATTTCCCACCCCACCCCCCACCCCACCCCACAACTGACGGCCGAGAGAAATGGAGACGGGGTACACGCCAAACACAGCCGGACGGACAAACAGGCAGACAGACAGGTGAACGGACGGAAAGACGAACAGATGGATGGATGGATGATGTTCCGAGTGGAACAAAAAGCCGCATACCCACATACACGCACACGAGCCCCTGCGCGTCCTTCAATAACCCACCTCCTTATACACCTCCGCCACGTACTTGCCACCCCCTGCCGCCTCCGCTGCTACTGCTGCTAGTGCTGGTGTTGCTACAGCCGGCGATGGGGCCCCCCACCTAGCTCCTGGAACCGTGTGCCTGCCCACCTTGGCACCTGATGTAACACCTCCGCCTCCGCCATGCGCTGTCCTTGCACCGCTTCCTCGGGTGCCGCCACCAGGTCCTTTGCCGTCGAAATCTGGAACATTCGGCGTCTCCAAACTCTGAAGTCGGGCCTTCAGAGCAGCTTTGTTGGCTTCAAATATCGGAGATTTTGCTATCGATGCGGGAGAAGCAGCAGTGGCAGCTGGGGCGGTGGCGGAGGGTTTGCCTTCGGAGTGCTTGTTGTGTTGTTGGTGTTGGTGCTGCCGGTGCTTTTGTTGGGCTTTGTGCTGACGACTGGGTTGTTGCTGGGCATGTTCCTGTTGCTCGTGTTGTTGGTATTCTCTCCTAAGTGGCGCGGCGCTGTAGTCTGCTGATGTATTATCACGGCGTCCTTGGTTTTGGAGACTGTGCCGGGCGTGATTGTACGGTTCTGGCTTCAACGCCGGCCTGTGACCAGCATCGTTTCCGTGCCGACCATGCTTTCCAGCGTGGTCGCCGTGGTTAATCTTGCGTTGCTTGCGCGGCGGGTCCGCAAATGTTTCGTGGCCGTCTGCGACTTCGCCCGGCAACTCGCCATCCTCAAGGTCGCTACCGTTATCCATCTGTGTTGGATTGACCCATACTAGATGACTCGATTTTCCTCCTTTCATGCTGAAGGTAGAGCTAATTCCACGACTGGAGTCGTGCCCTGTAAGTCTCCGTCCGACTGGGGCGGCGGAATGTCCCGGTTCTCCTGCTTTGAACGCTTCGCAAAGCTTCTTAGCTAGATATCCTGTTGTGTGAATTGGTATATAAACGCCAGCCTCAGACCGTTGATACGAGTCCAATGGTGAGGTGAACCGTTGCCCTGTAACAAACGTAGATATCTGCCTGACTTATTGCCAGGTTGGGGGGCTCCGTAACACTTATGAACCATGAAAGAGAAGTGGTATGCTTGCTCCGCAAACTTGCCGTGCGCTGGATCCGAAACCCATTCCTTCCGAAACAGTGAAACAGCATGCAACACGAATGCACACGGGTTGCTCCATCTAACAAGTACTGTGCTGGATATGAACTAGAAATTTTATGATTGGCACACTGCCTCATGCATCCTGAGGCAAGGCCTTTTTTACTTGCTAAGAGGGTCTTTCCATTGGCCAGCGGCTGGGAAAGTTCCTTAAGTTCTATGGAGAAGTTAGGAAATTTCCTTCATTTCACTTTCCATTGGGTCCACTTTACACAACTTTTATCAGACGTACGGATTGTAAGAAATTGCTCACTTTTAAGCTACGTTAGCACATCACTTCTATTGCCCAGCACGTTTTCGCTCGCATTCCTTGACTCCCCTAGACAATGTCCCCATGGGCACCGTCGGCAAGCGCGCGGAGTTGTGCTGGGACGCGACCTGGTTAAGGCCTCCATACGACATTTGCGAATGATGTAATTTGTGGTGATAGTCCGGGAAAGCGGGGTGGTGACCCGACTCGAGATTGACATGGCCAGGCTGCAAGCGAAGCTGCCTCAAGCAAGCCTCGTCATCCATATGAGTTCCAATGTAACCAGCAGGACTTCCCTGGAAGGACATTGACGAGGAAATAGCACTCGCCGGTTATGCGTGAAAATGTGAAGAGTATATGCGAGGTCGACAATTTAATACATGGTCGGGAGCATGTACTAGCTAAGTCTGTCTTAGCGGGTGTAATGGAAAAGTTACGGAAATCTCCCTTTCCATTGGCCGTCCGGCAACTTCTCGCATGGGGCACTTCGTGTAACGCCGCTAAGGCGGCCCTTGGCTCACCGGGCCAACGGTATCGTACCAACGGTACATCCAAGAACTATTCATAATCTTCCAATACCAAACGGTATTTATAAATACCACCTTTTATCGTTGGATATTTTCCGTTCGTAACTGCTTTACCAACTGCAAGCTTTGTTACAATTTTGGTATCGAGACCTCGTGAAAATTCACGATCCTGAAGTCGTCGGTTCAACCCCCACCGATCACGTTCGAGTGGTATTCGGGTGTGGCGACTCAGAGAGCGAATATCGCACAAATTATAAAAGTAGCTGAACCGACTGGACTGTCTCTGTGCCTGAAAAATCTGAAGACGGCTAGGCGCATGTGAGTCGGCACATGACGTGACGTGGAGTAAATACCCACTGCCCGAGGGTAGGCGAAGGTAGGCACAGGCTGGCGGTATACGAGGCTCTAAGGGCCCGGGACGGTTCCCTTCAAAGGGGGGGGAATGTAGCAGCCGGTACACAGTACGGTGCTATAAATACGCGCAGAGCGCGACCGCCAGCAACTCGAGAGACCTTTTCAGCGGTCAGCTGCTACATTTGGTATCGAGACCAACCGGTCAAACGACCTCGGAGTCAAGCACTCCATCGCTTCCGCAAACACATTCCAACTTAAGAAACATTTTCTATCTGACTTACATGGCGAGCCCAGGGAATACCATGCGCACCCAGTCGGCGAAGGCCGACCATGAGCGCTATCAGCTGCGCCAGGTGAGCCCCTCTAGGGCAAAGGAACTGGTACAAAAGGTCCAGGAAATGTATGAGAAGTACGTAAGGCGTGCCCAGCGTAAGGGCATAACACCGCCGTCGCGCATGTTTGACAAAGTCAGACAATTCTGCGACGAGCAAGGCTATCGCTCCGCACTAGGCTTCCTAATGGAAGCTAATGAGGAACTCTCCTATGTGCAGAAAAGCCGCGAACTGCGGGAGCGTTTTAGCCACTGCGGCGCATGACGCCGACAACAACGCCAATGGAGCGCACGACCCAACAGGTCCCGGACCATCGCGCCCACGTACTGCGCAGCCAACTGCTGCCGCCGCGGAG